CCAAAACAACAACAACAACAACAACAACAACAACAACAACAACAACAACAACAACAACAACAACAACAACAACAACAACAACGACGACGACGACGACGACGACAACAACAACAATAACCAACAATAACCAACAATAACAGAATCAATATCATCAAACCAAACAACAGCAGCAACTACAGCAAGATCAGCAGTGAAAGCATTTACAACAACAACGACAGTAACAGCAGTAGCAACCATATAATGGGGGAATGGCAAGTCGACCCATCAAACAGATATGGACGATTGAAGAAACTAGGAGAGAAATAAGTAAAAGTGTATTGGTTAAACGCCCCTACCACCACTATTAGGTTATTTCAGAGGCGAGATTTCTGGATTTAAGATCAGTCTCGAATAGGAACGAGCCTAATGAGTTGAGAGCCTTGAAAACTCCACGAAACCACCCGGGTTTAATGAAGAACGCCCAGACTGGGATTTGAACCAGGGCCATCCGTTCCATAGTCCAGCATGATACCAAGTGAGTTACTGGAGCGCCCTGGAAGTCTGTGTCATGATTTATGAAAAGTTATCATTATCAGTATGTACCTTTTCGTTTGAAATTGATACCGTTCCTTGCATTCTTTTTAGAACATTCAACGCTTTAGTACACCGACTAAAATAGCGCCGTTTGTCTATAATTCCGCGGACATTTATTTTGCTAGGGACAGTATCGTGTAAGCACCGTCTGCACAGATCTGACTTGTGTTTATTCTGCGCTCGCTGGGCAACACCTACACCGGAGATTTTTAGGGGTGCGTTCATGGCCCATGTGCGACTGACTCCGCGCACTTTTTGAGCGTCCGTTCCTGGGCCGGACATATTTATGATAATCGGTACCCGTGCCACGAAGCAGAGGATGGACTCTGGTTGGTTACAGTACCACAGGCATACTGTGTCCATGACACTAATGTAAACAGAGTCTAGGTTAACTTTCTTTTAAGTCTATGGAGGCTATCGCTTGGCGATGAAAGTGAAACACGTTTCTCTTTTTTATGGTAGTCTAGGTTGGAGAAGTGCACGAGGTGGGTTGGCGAGTTTGTGTTTGTTGTTTCCTTTTTCAACAACTTTTACTCTTTTTCCATATGCCCGTCAACGCACATCTCGTGGTGAAAAAGAAGGAGTGAAAATAGGAAAAAAATATATGTTTACAATTTGTACATAAACAAAGGGTCAAAGATCAGCCATTTCGCAGTGTACAGCTTTGTGTATTCACTTCTGACCCTGACAGACACATTCACAAAAGCACTCAGTGCAACAACTGCACACGATTTCTTTTTGTTCCACTCTTTGTTACTCCCTCTTTCGCCCTGTTATTTCATTATCTCTCTATTGTTCTTTCTCTTTCTTTCTCTGCCCATCCCCTCCCTATCCCCCCTTTCTCTCTCTCCTCTCTCTCTCTCTTTTCTCTCTCTCTTCTCTCTCTCTCTCTTTTCTCTCTCTCTTCTCTCT